GTAGAATTTTATTAATTGTTTGCGTTTTTGTGCACATTTAATTTTATTAAAATCATGAAAAATACAAAAATATCATGAATTGCATTGAGGTCGTATTTTTATATTTTAGGATTAATTAGTTAATTAATTGTTGCATGAAAAAGAATGAAAATTAAAAAAATGGCCCATTTTACATTTTGTTACCTTTTAAATGCAAGATTATTGATTTTCTTTTTTTAGGATTTAGGAATTTTTATAATTTTAGGAAAATTGGTTGGTGTTACAGCTCAGGATAATTTAGGATTTTAATTTTAAAAGGAAAAAGAAAAGAAAAGAAAAGAAAAAGAAAAGGAAAAAGAAGGAAATAAAAAGAGGGCTTAGTTTAAGGTGTTGAATTTGGGCCACTTGCACCCGGATTTCCCTCAATTCACAAGCCCAAAGGTGTAGTCTACCTGGTCCAGCCCATTTTCACGGTTTAAGTCTTCAGCCTCTAAGACACTTGAAACGACGTAGTATGAGGGCAATACTACGCTGTTTTGAGTTCAAGTAGCTTAAAGTAATCCTGGCCCTTCATTTCTCTCATCCAACGGACAGTAGAGCCTCATTCCAACTCGTTTAAAGATGTCTAAATACCCCACTTACAACCTAGGACCGTAGTCGTTCATCTCCTTTACCCTTGTATCTCACCGCCGTCCGCCACCCACCGAAAATCGCCAGTGGCGGCGGTTGGTCTCCATAGTCCCTCAAATCTTGCCCATACAACCCCCATCGTCCCCTCACCCCAAATCCACTTCTATTTCTTTCCAAAAATCACCCATCTTCCTTATATTAGGGATGTAAGAACCACAGTGGAGTCTCTTTCGCCTTTTTGTCTAATCTCCTCATAATCTGGTCTTTTCTCGACATTGAGCATACTTGAATCGTTCATCTTTTGAGGGGAGGATTCAATTGGCTTTGATCCCAATTGGGTTCATGGTGTCCGGATTCTGGGCGAACAACCATCGAGGGCCCAAGACATTTAGAGCCTCTACTACATCCTCTTCTTGGCGCATGTTGAGGATTGTAACATGAAGCACTAGCCGTTGATGAAATTCCGGCTAGTGATCATGTTACAATTCCCATCATTAGTCAAAATCCTTGTTCGCCGGATTTGCAATCGACTCGTTATTGGTTCTCTTCGGCTCATCAGAATCTTAAGCAAACTCGCCGGTATGACCCGTCCTTTGTTATCAAGTCTGTGTCCAAGTTGGTTTCTAGTTCACAATAGCTTAACAATGGCTTAATAATTAGGTTAATTGCATGTGTTAACAAATTTTTATCTTTTGGGTATTCCTTTTAAAATCCATTTCTCGTTTAATTTAGAGGTTGTTTGTTTAAACCTGCGTTGAATTCGTTTATGGTTGTTGGTTTGGATCCGATTTGGGCTTGTTAGTACAGAAGCCCAAGGGGGAACTTAAGCATGTTTGGCTATATGGCCCAGATTGTTGGTATTTTCTGAAAAGTAAATAACAGAAGATAAAGGGTATTTGGGGGATTTGGATAGAAAGAATCTTTCATAACCACTTAGGAAGGTTCTAGCAAAGTGGAAAAAGAGGCTGATTTACTAAAAAGGTTCAAATGTTGGGTTTGATTTGAAAAAGAGAAAATTGGGGAAGGGGTAATAGTAAAGGAAAAAACCAATCTCTGCTGCCGTAATACCCCTCTATAAGAGCCTCATTTCCCTGAATTCTAGGGCAGAGATTAGAATACCAAAAGAAAGAAATGGCTAAAAGTCTTTTCCTAAAAAGAAAACTACTCTAGTTTTGAGCATGATTTCCTTCTTTGGCTAAAAAGGTTTAGGAGTGGTCTTTCTTGGTATTTTTCCTGGTCTTTTGAACTGAAATATGGCTGGAGATTGAAGCTGTTAAGTTGATGATTATTGCTATTCTCTGTTATTGCTTTGCTGCCATAAGACAAATACATTTTTGGTTTTGTTTTGCTGTATCCAGGTACTCCTTGAATCCCTAGAATTTGAAGTGAATATACAATGCGTGTGCTAAAGCTGATATGATTAAGCATCGATTTTTCAGTAATTGGTTCCAGAGTTCTATTAATTTGTATATCTTTTCTTCTACTAGTCACTTTTCTGTTTTGCACATCAGCAGATGTAAATCCGCGTTAGAGTGTAAAAGTTGTTAGGATTTGAATTCTGATTGTGTTAAGAATCTTGCAAAAAGTGTTAGAGGTCTGAACCAAGTGTACATATACTGTGATTTTGGTTTTTGGGTCTGTGTTGGAATTATTTGGATCTTTAATATAGCGTGTTTGGGAATGATGTTTGGAGTTTGGTTATCGCTATTGCATCCAGTCTTTTAAAAGGTTTTATCTCATTCTTTAGGTCCTCTTAGTGTAAGATAAATCTACTGGTTCTTTAACACTCATTCATGAAATTGATACAGCTGTGAGGCTATGAAATTCCGTGGAAAACAAATGAATACAATCATGGGTTGTAAATGTGTCAATATCATTCCTTCTGCTTTAATACGTACGTGTGTGATGTTGACATAAATAGAAGCCTGACGTTGTATATCTTGATGGTGAAAAAGTTTATGAAAAGGTTAAAACAGGATTAAAGGTGCAGAAGTTATAGTCTCTCGCTAAAGTAAGCAATGTGGTGTGCATGACAAATTTTGTTATTAGTTGCCACGCTGTTGTTTGAGCCTCTTGTTATAGTTTGTGAATTAATTGAAAAATAGAATAATGTATAATGTCTAGGCTCCGACTAGCTTGGCCCTATTGTATCACGCTGTTTCCATGGTTGACATCGCTGTTCAAACGATTTCTTTGTGTTTGGGCCTTTTTGTTAAAGGATTTAATAAAAGCTGGCCATTCTCTCATACAATCTAAGTTGGCGGGTTTGATATCTCCAAAGCATTATATTAGATGTGGCCATAATTTAATAGGCCGCTAATTTAAATGTAGTACTCTATGGCCGAGGTGTCCCATTCATAATTGAATCCCTATGGCCCTCGTGTTGATTTTATGACCTAGATGTTAAAAATAAATATTCGTAGAAAAGCCTTTAGGCACGTGTTAAAATACAATTGTGATTGTGTACACATTCGCGTGATATAACTACGATTCTAAAAAACCAATACGGAGTATGCGTTCGCGCAACTTCGATCAAACTTCCTTAATAATAAAATTATTGTTAATAGGACACTAAATTAAATGTAGTTCTCTAGGCCGAGGTGTGCCATTCATAATTGAATCCCTATGGCCCTCGTATTAATTTTCGACTTAGATATTTAAAATGATGTTCGTAGTTTGCTTTAGGCACGTTCAATATACCATCGTGGTTGTGTACACGTTCGCGTGGCATAATTACGATTCTAAAAATAAAACCGGAGTATGCGCTCGCGCACTTCAGCCAAACTTTCTTAATAATAATAAAGCGTTACTAATTGTGTACACGTTCGTGTGACATAATTTTTGACGCGTCAAACAAATGGGTACACGTACGCGTGACCTGTTTTAAGATAATGTCTTAATTAAAAAGGGCAAATGCACATAGGTTCTATAATGAGTAATTAAACAATTTGATTAAGCCAAGTATGATCAAAGCGACCGTAGAACCACAAAACTAGGGAGTGCCTAACACCTTCTCCCGGGTTAACAGAATTCCTTACCCGAATTTCTGTGTTTCGCAGACATTAAAACAGAGTCAAATCTCCTCGATTCGGGATTCTAAACCGGTAACTTGGGACACCATAAACTATCCCAAGTGGCGTCTCTGATCTTAAATAATAATCGCGTTTCGATTGTCACTTAAATTGGAAAAACTCCCTTATACCCCTTCCAGGGTAGTAAAAAAGGAGGTGTGACACTTATCAAGTTGCATTAAATCATGCTAGACCAAAGGTTCCAACTCCTTCTTCTTTTGATTCTCAATCATCTAAAAGAACTGCGGGAGTAAGAGCACTTAGTGCTTGGGCGGGGTTTAGGGGTCCTCAAGGTTCTAGTAGTAATAGTTTTTCACAACTAAATAAGCTTGAAGTTTATTTGTCGTAGGGAATTGAAGAAGTGAATCCTGACGACTCCTTTAATCTTTTGCAATGGTGGAAGGACAAAGAAAAATACTTTCTGGTTCTTTCAAGAATGGCCCGCGACATTTTAACTATTCAAGCTTCAACAGCGGCATCGGAGAGCGCTTTCAGTCAAGCAAGACATCAAATCGGTGATTATAGAGCGTCTATGAGGGAGAACTTGGAAAAATCAGTACTTTTCAGAGATTGGATCCATTCGGAAAGCAGAAATTTTGGACTTGCTGAATCACAACAGAGGAAGACGAAGCTTACGAAGAAATGCTAGTTGAACTTGCGAAGGATGCTGCTTCGCCCGACAATGAAAGCGGCAATGATCAAGCTACTTTTCCGCCACCACCAGCGAAAATTCCTCCGGACCTTGACGGATTTATGAAGTTTGTAAGAGATACCATGAACTTGTAGGAATAAAAATTAGTATGTATTATATAACTTGTATTTTGGCACATCTTGATTAATTTTTTTTTCTTCTCAATGGTGGTATTAGCACATTGTTGTGCCCATTCCATAGGGAGGAGGAAGACTAAGAAAGATATTGTCATGTTTTTTAATGCTATAATAAAATTACAAGGCATTGCTTTGAATATCTCTTTACAATATTTTTGTCTTTAAATTTGAATTAAAAAATATAGGTCACAATTCTATAATATATTTACAAGGCATTGCCTTAGATATTTTTTTAACATCTTTTTGTTTCTAATTTCTATTTAATTTTTTTTAAAAAATTCAATATTTAGCCGTTGGACCCACTTAGCCCGCGGGCCTGGCCCGTTTAACTCGGGACCATGAGTTCGTGGGCCCGGTCCCCGGCCAATTCTTTAAAAAAAAAGGGTTTAGCCCGGAATCAATAGGCCCGTTTATTTAAGGACCGGCCCGGGATCGAAACCTTTTAGACCGGCCCACTTGGCCCGTTTAGGGCCCGGACCTGCCACATGCCACCCCTATTATAATTTTGCCCAACCCACCATATTTTGCAGCTTCTATTACCTCTGGTGTCTAAACCAGTGGCATTATTCTCTCGATTCTTCCCATTATTATTCAATGGGGTCAATGCTAGGCGATTGGCCTTCTTTTGACCCTCACAATTTCAGCCAACTTCGCCCTTCTGATCCCTCCACCCCTTCTGTAAGCACCCTTTTTTCCTTTTTCAATTTCTTGTAAATAAAAGTTCAATCTTGATATTGCTAACCCCTTTTCCCACTTAATTTCTTTGTGAATTTTCCATTTTTTAGCTGATTATTGCTCGACCCAGTATAGCTCTATTTGTTTTATGCACAAAAAAAATGAGTTCTTGGGACAATTTGGAGGTGTTTGTTGATGTGCATTTGAAAAGCTCAATCGTGATTTGTACTAACCCCCTTTTCCTATTCAATTTCTTTGTGAATTTTCCATTTTTAGCTGATTTTAGTTCGACCTATTTTTGCTCTGTTTGTTTTATGCACACACACACACAAAAAAAAAAGAGTTCTTGGGAATGTGCATTTTGAGAAATTCTTCATTTGTTGTGAACCCCTTTTAAAGAAACGCTAATTTGTCTTAAAAGATCAATTATTTAGTATTTCTAATGAAATGGGTCCTATTTGAGCTGAATGAATATAGAGAATTTGTATACCAGCTAGTTTGAGATTGGGATGTAGTTGATTACTACAACATACCCACTATAATCCCACTATGTGGGGTCTGGGGAGGGTAGTGTGTACGCAGAACTTAACCCTACCTTGTGGAGATAGAGAGGTTGTTTCCACGGGATGTAGTTGATTGATTGTCATTATTTTTGCGCTCATGTGGCGTTCTGTTATTAAAGCTAGTGAAATATCTGATATAGGAGCCTTAAGCCTATTTATGTTTCTGGTTGAGAATGGTTTTTGATGTAATGATGTTTAATTTGCAAATGAAGTTGAGGATTGCCATAATTGTGCATATCTAAAAGAGAGTATTTGAGCTACAAGTAATTAGTGCTGATTTTGGATTAAGTGTATTCTAGTTTTGGTGCATTAGTTTCTATTAGATAGATGGTATAAACAAATATTCAGTGCCCATAGAGATCACACATCACATCAAGCAACAATCTTGATCATGATTAATTGGAAACGGTAAACAACGACTAGACTCGAGCATATTCAGTATGTGGTGTCTTCTTGATGGTTTGGGGATATCTGGGGTTAAATTTGTTGCTTATGTGCGCCAGACTTAATGTATGCTACACTCAGCTTTGCAAAAACAACCCCTCTTTGTTATCACGCGTGGTTTAAATGACCACTACGTGGCATATGCTGCCATAATCCACTGTACACTAGCTTTGCTTTACAGTTGAAATGATAACCATGCATTTGATTATGATCTGTTACGGCGTTGATTATTAGTATGCACTGCTTCTGTCACTGTTATTTCAGTTACTTCTACTTCAAACTCGAACTGACAAATATGTAAGAGAGGCAGCAAAAATGACAACCATAATATTCTAAGACTGTCTAGATAAGCTATACAATTACTTGTCACTATAGCGCGATATAGGAGATGTTGTACCATTAAATTCCTGTGTTTTAGAGCATACTATAGAACCTGTCCTCTAGAGCCGTATATTTTACAGCACAAGGTTTATGATCTACCTTGTGAGGATTTTAAAGCTTTAGATGTAGAAGAGCTGCATATTATAAGAAGTGTCTATTATCCACAATGAACCTTTTTCCGATTATTGTTGCGTATTGAATCTGGTCTCCATCTTTCACTGCCCTTTGTTTTTCTCCACTCTGGTAGTTATCACAAAATTAGAAAGTAAATATATGGAATGTTTGATCATAAAGTTACTCGGCTAATTTCATAGGTTGAAGCTCATTATGTCTCTCCTAACGAGTTGCATAAAGTGAACTAATATTTTATTTTCAAAGGATATAGAAACCTACATATGCACTTCAAAATCTCTTTAAAAATTTCTCTACATTAGCAAACGTTTTCCACGATCAAGCTAGGAGTAAGGTTTCCATACACCCCACCTTCCCTAGACCCCACTTGTCGGATCACACCCCCACTTGTCGGATCACACTGAGTATGTTGTCGTTGTTGTCGTCGTCGTTGTTGTTGTTCCGCGATGAAGTTACTTGAGCCGAGGGTCTATTGGAAATAGCCTCGCTACCCCATAGAGATAGGGGTAAGATCTGCGTACATCCCACTCTCCCCATACCCCACTTGTGGGATCACACTGGGTATATTACTGTGATACTGTCGTTGCTTTTGTTGTTTCTCCACGATGAAGTTACATGGTGGTAAACATTTGGACTTTGGTTTTTAGTAGCCGGAATGCATCTTCATTTTTCTTTTTTCCAATTTGGAGGATACTAGTAATTTTGTATATCCACTTATATAATTCTATGCTCTTTCTGTTTCTAGAGAATGACACCTGTGACTTATCGCCCTACTCATGATAGGACTCTTCCACCACCAAATCAAGGTAAATCAAGAAAAGGATTCTTTTTGTTTCTTAGACATTCCTATAGTTTACATTTACGTATTAGTTGCTCTCATCCTTGTGGAAACAGCCTCTTGCAGAAATGCAGGGTAAGGCTGCATATAATAGACCCTTGTGGTCCGACTCTTCCCCGGACCCCGCGTATAGCGGGAGCTTAGTGCACCGGGCTGCCCTTTTTTGCTCTCATCAGCTACCTTTATCAGGCAACTGGATTATGGATATGTATAAATCTAACTAGAATTCTAACCCCCTCCCTAAGTGAATGAGCGTAAAGCTTTTGCGCTAAATTCGTCCATTTTTGACTCAACGTATCTTGCTTCTAACTGGACATATCTTATTGGCCTACATTTGAATTGCCAGTTATTAGTTCTGAAGCCAAAAATATACTTCTGAGACACTTAGAGCAGCGTGCTGAAGAGAAGGTTAGTATTCATTTCATTTTGACATTCATTCTTGTTTCTGTGATGGATATTTGGCAATTTGTGAAAAGAAAAAGATCCAAATTTATCCCTTTACTATATGGAATATCTTAATTTTACCCTCCGATATACCTTTTAGGCCATCCACACCCTTGCCAGTTTCCACTAGCATAGTGTCTCATACTTGCCCTTGACTTTAATGGAGCTTCAACGTGGATTGGGTGAATACCACGTGTTAAAGTACTTCGGGAAAAGGTTTATATTTACTCCTCTACTTTTGACTATGCCTTCAAATTACCCTTATACTTCATGTTAGAGTTCCTTAAGGTCAAGGACAATAGGAGAAGGACGAATAGGAGACGATTTGTTAATGGCAAGGGTATGAGTGATCTAAAAGCATAACGTATGATAAAATTAAGATATATCATACTAGAGGGGTAATTTTTTTTTTGTGCCCGTTTCTCTTTCTGAAATGTGTTCTATTCCTTCATGGTTCTGAATGTTTTGGTGTTGCAGTTGAGACCGAAACGTGCTGCGGCTGAAAATCTGACACCAGAGCATGGATCTAAGCATCTTAAGGCATCCACCTGAGATGCTTCTCTTTTTGTGCTACTCTTGGGGCGGGAAGAAGATGAGAAAACACGAAGTATGGCAGTTTCAAGCCGGACAGTACACAACTTGGTTTTGAGAGATGACTTCTAAATAGGTTGACGTCTTCGGGTTCTCTTCATATTTCTGTAAATAATGTTGTAATGGCAGAGATGCATGTTGTTGTAAAATTGAGAAGAGCTTGTTTGCTAATTGCATATATCAATGGAGAAATGTACATTATTGAAATGTTGTTGGATGAGATTTCTTGCATGAGCATTGAAAATGTAGCATATGGATTTTTGGTAGTCTTAGATGTGGAATTACTCGGCGTTCAGAACCAGTCTTGAAGTGAATGAATAAGAACGAAGGAAATGAGACGATTCTTTCTTGAACTATATCATAAACAGATCTTTTCCTCCACAACAATTACAAGTTTTTCTCTATTCCTCTTGTATATCGTCGTAACGCGCTTTAATGTTAGGTTTTGGATGGAAATTTTCATATCATTGGCATTTAGGTCTGATTTGGATCCCTCTTGTTGTTTCCTTTTCCTCCCGCATCTTTTCCTCGAAATAAGAAAGAAGATGCTACACTTGAATTGTATTATTAAAATGCTTATTGCTTACCAAAAATCCTTACTTCTACGCTATACAATTAACATTTTAGATTTTCATAACATGTGTAAATTAGCTGTGGGGAGTTTAATTTATTTCCTACTTAGGTATAATATATTTAAGATTTGTTCAACTTCAACTAATGACTAAGTCAATTTGTTTGATGATACGAGACATAATTAACACTTCTCATCTATTTCCCATTGGCTGTTAACTAATTGCTTATAATATTAGTTAATTAAGCTGCCTTTCTCTTTCCACACACACATGCTCTAGCATTTTTCATAGTTAGAAGTCTTCAAGTTGAATAAATTTTAAATTATTCATTATACAACAATCCCTTCTTTATTATTCGCCGCATAAATAATTTTTATTTAATGCTCTGAATAATTAACATGTGAGAATGGGAGCTTTGTAGTAACGGTGAAGTTGTCTTCGTGTGACCTATAAGTCACGGGTTCGAATCGTGGAAGCAGCCACTAATGCTTGGATTAGGGTAGGTTGTCTATATCATATTTCTAAAATTGCGATCCTTCCTCGGACCCTGCATAAATGCGAGCTGCTTTGTGTACCGGACTGCCTTTTTGATAACTAACATGTGAACTAAATGGGACATTTGCATCTATACCCGTTTTTTGTGCTACGTTTTAACTTGTGCCCGCTTTGCAAAAAAAAATTGCAAGCGTACCCGCTTTTTCGCATAACTTCAGCATACGAGGCTGAAGTAGCAAAGGCAATCACGCAAAACTTCAGCATTCTAGTAGCCGGGCCTGAAGTTCAGCTCTAGAGCTGAAGTTTTTGTGTTTGTAACTGGGGAACTTCAGCTCTAGAGCTGAAGTTTTTATCTTTGTAACTGGGGAACTTCAGCTCTAGAGCTGAAGTTTTTGTTTTATAACTGGGGAACTTCAGCTCTAGAGCTGAAGTTTTTTTTTGTTTTATAACTGGGGAACTTCAACTCTAGAGCTGAAGTTTTTGTTTTATAACTGGGGTACTTCAGCTCTAGAGCTGAAGTTTTTGTATTATAACTGGAAAACTTCAGCTCTAGAGCTGAAGTTATTTAGATCATCACTAGTCTACATTTGCTTACAGAAACACGACATTGGATACAATACACGCATAGGCATCATTGCAAGAAGGATAGTTAGACCAGAGCTCAATTTTAGAACCAAAACTGTTCATTGGCTTTCTGAAACAAATTGAAAATTTCTGCACAGCGACAGATGCAAAATTAATCCAACGACGGCGAAAACCTTTGATCCTGTCTGTGCCCGGAGCATCAAACCATTTACAATTTTTCTTCTAAATTTTAATCTTTCATTCACTATTTAGGTTCAGCAACTAATTAAGGATTGTTCAGTTAATCATCTAGGTGCCACTTTAAATAATTAGTTTATAATTTTATTTTTAAATAATCTGATAAACATATTTATGGCAATCATCCCATGAATTGAAGTTCCATAGCAACACCAACAACAGTAGAAGAAAGAAGAAGAAGAAGAAGAAGAAGAAGAAGAAGAAGAAGAAGAAGAAGAAGAAGAAGGAGGAGGAGAAGGAGGAGAAGGAGGAGGAGAAAGGGAGCTGAATTTATTTAAAAAGTGGGTATAAGTTAAAAGTTTTTAAAAAAATGGGTATAGGTTAAATGGGGGCAACCAAATAGGGCGCCCCGTGCAATTTTTACGAACTAAATGACTCCTTAATATGCAAGTTTTTGGAGAAGAATGACAGGAAATGTAGACCCAATTCTTGAAAGCAGTATTGTAAATTGTGACATGTCATATGAAGGATTGACCAAGAATGGTTCTGGAAATAGAGACCCAATTCTTGAAAGCAATATGTCATGTGGGGGATTGACCAAAGAATAAGCCTAGAATTATTTAAAGACAATGCTAAAAGAAGTCCAACATTGTCCAAAATAGTTAAATTTCTGACTGAGATTTTACACATGTTGATTGTCAACTTTCAGCGTAGAGTAGGGCGGCACTCCTAGATCTATATTGACCTTACAAGAAAACCACAAAATATCTCGCGTTTATGTAGGGCTCGAGGAAGGGCCGCACATCAAGATAGTGTGATGTAGATAGCTTACCTTGATACAAGTATTAGTGGCTGATTCCACGGTTCGATTTTGTGACTAAGTCACATGGGGACAACTTTACCATGCTTCAAGGTTCCCCTGCTATAAGAAAACCTTATTGGTCGTACTAATTTTGAATATTGACCTTACAAGAACACCTTATTAAGGGTAGTCCGATGCACGAACTATTCCGTGTTTATGTAGATCTGGAGAAGGACCATACCCTAACTCCCTAAGAAGGTGATGTAGATAGCCTATCTTGATGCATGCATTAGTGGTGGTTCCACACCTCGAACACTGACATATTATTCCAAGACTCCCACTGCTACAGAAAACCTTATTGGTCTTACTAATTCGGATTTGCGCGGAATACATAATTCTACTAAAGATAAAGCATTTTCTATCAAGATATTTTTCATTCTTATGATCCGAATCCGAGATATTTAATTAAGGATAGAAAAATATTCTAACCATTCCACTACACCTGATAATAGGTGAATTTGACTATAATCACGCACCGAATAACCACCTTCTTGTGAACTTTAATGTGGAAAAATGACAACAAAATGCTCTTATTAGTACTTTTCATGATTTGCAGGTGATATAGGTGTAAGGAAGGTTAAGGAGCAGTTTGGAGTCAACTATTGATGAAAAAAAAAGGCTAATTGTTGCATTTCCCAAGTGACCCATTCAAAACAGGCCAAATTGCCCGGGTACAGGGTCCACCGCGGTTCCACCGCGACCGCGGTGAAACCACGGTGGAAGGTAGTCTCTAAAGAATGAAGAATCCGCGAGGGCGTTTGGCCGCGGTTCCACCGCGATCGCGGTGAAACCGCGGTGGGAAGCGTAAATTTCAGGGGCTAAAGTGTAAAACATGGGATTTTAAGTCCTAAACCCTATATAAAACAAAGGAGGCCGGCCTAGAACAAGAGGAGGACATATTTTGGACACAAATTAGACCTAAGGAGGCGGAGAGACACTACTTTAGGGTTAGACAACACCCTTGGAGGCAAGAACACATTGGGAGCAAGGCGGAGAATTCTTCTACAAGTTTTTCCTTCCTTTTCCTATTTCTCATTGTTGGTTATGACTTTTAGTATTGTAGTTTTACATACTATTATGAATAGCTAATTTGTTATCTAGAGTTTTGATAGAACCTTTTGTAGGATAAATTCTTGTTATGTTTTTATATAATTGAGCCATAGCTTTTCTCTATTTGTTCAACTACGTTTATATTGTGGTTGATTGAAGAGCTCTCAATTAGCTGTGCCTATTTAGTATGCATAACTCGGGAGAGAGTGCATATTTAGGTAATTGTTGAACAACACCACTCCCAAAGTATATGAGGGATCAATAACCGAGGGTTTAAAGGCGGGATTAGGGATAACGAAGCCTTGGGTGCGATCTAAAGTGAGCTGTATTAAAAGCCAGCTAGCGTATCTCGGGAGAGTGCGTCTAGTAAATTGTCGTAATTACTCGGGAGAGATTTACGGTAATAAGAGTGCTCATGATCGGTAGAGAATACTTAGGCGAAATTATAGAAGACATAGCAGGAAGGATTCCGACAATTGGGGAAATCATAACTCTAGACCTCCTTAATCTTTTCTCTAGCCCTCAATATCTTTAGTTGTTAATTTACTATTTTAATTTGTTAGTTAAGTAGTTAAACACAAGAATCTTAATATCTATAAGTTAGGAATTGTTCAAGCTTGTCTTCTTGGTGATAGTGAACAGCTGTAGCTAAACCTTAGTTCTCTGTGGGATTCGACTCCGGACTTGTAAACCGGATTATATTTGCAACGACCGCATTGTCCTTTTTATAAGGCATAGTTGGGCGTGATCAAATTTTGGCGCCGTTGCCGGGGAACTAACGGTGTAGTTGTAGGTGTACATATTGCTAGGTTTCAAGTTTGAACTTTTATTTTATTATTTGATTTTTTTTATTTTTATTTTTTTTATTTTAGTTTTATTTGTTTATTTGAGAAACATGACATCATGGAATTATGAGAATTTTGTTGTTGGTAATTCTACTTTTGATCCTCCTTATGCATATTGTGAAGGAAACCACCCAGGGCAAAATTATCAAAATATTCCTGAGAGCGAGTTTTGTGCACCAACTCAATCTTATGTGTGGAATGTGTGTGATATGTGTGGTGGTCAAGATGGTCACTTTCACGGTTGTGCTTATATTTCTTACCTTCCCCCAACCCCTTACTTTGATGGTTCTTCTTTTTCTGGTGAAGTTAATAGGAACAAAGAACCTAGGGAAGCTGACCTAAAGAAGCTCGAAGATATGTTAAAGTGCATTTTGGAACAACAGAGTAAATTACTACTGCGGATAGAAAGGCAGGAGGAAACTATTCACAACTTGAAAGTTCACATGGGTCAACTGGTTGAAGTTTTTAATGCTCAAAAAGCCAATATTGTGAATAGTATCCAAGAAGAGCGTGAATTAGATACAAAAATTGATGAGCTAGAGGAGGAGGCTAGAGTAGAACACCAACAATCAATCGCACTAGATTTTGAGGATGTCGATGTTGTAGAAGAGATACTAGAGTCAACCAAGGATATTGAGGATACATATTTAGTTGACTCTATTGTCATTAGTGTTGAGAAT